ACCAGCAGTATTTAATTAAATTCTCAAAGTCTTATCCTGTGCCACATAAAGAGCTCAGAAACTTGCCTTATTCACAGGGAAAGATTTAAGTGTTTAATAAATGCAGAATTATTACTGTACAGTTTCTACTTCCCTCAAAGACTCAAGCAATGGTTCTGCTGATACTACACACTTTCCCTAAAGAGATTATTATGGTAATCCTAAATAATATACTACCCAAGCTATCTTATATTTGAGCTCATCAGATCCAATGTTCTGCAAATAATCTCTAGCAGCTTTAGCTAGTGTTTATATAAGCTGGTCAGGATGGCTATTCGAGCAGTGATGACCATGTTGTCTGTGCAATTCTCTACATGGTAAATGTGTGCTTGCTCAAAAAATAGCAGCCTAAACAGAAAATACATTGCACATGCATGTTCTTTTCTATGAGAAGTACATTTAGTATGTACTTTGCCAACTTACTTGTCATAATTTGTGGATGTTTCACTTAAATGCTTCATAATGTAGCAGGCCTTTAGCAGGACAAATCCTATTCTCTCTTTATTTGTCTTTACTCAGAAAGCTACCCAGAATGTGCTGTGGTTCTGAATTACTGTTTCATGATACAAACAATCCATGGCATTTTTTTTTCTCTTCTGGATAGATGGCCTAATGAACTTTGCAGGTGAAGAGCCCAGATAGCATAATAAATATTTACAGTTCGTTTTGCCTGTTGAGATAAATTATCATTTAGTACTCAGCACCTTAGTGGGAATTCTTTGTTACATATGCATAGATCACTGCTGTGCAGTTATGAAGCCTAGCAGCACATGATACAGAGAAATGATTACTTGTTTTGAGATTTATTTACTTATATAAAACCGTTTAGCAACTTATTTATTTACTTATAGCAAGTTATAGTATTAGTTATAGTACTTTTTGAATATTGCTAAGAATCCTGCTTGCCCAGACTGTTCTGTGGAATTTTACCAAGGACTATTGTGTTCATCAAAACAAAGCAGTTCACTCTGAAAATCTACCAAGGACTATAATGTTCAGCAAAATATTATGGTTTTGTCCTTGGGGAACAAGTATATCCTAACTAGCTGGAATCTTAGTAATGAATAAAGATAGCCATATACAGATGGTAGAAGTTCTATGGTTCTCTTAAATAAAATCGAAAGTAAACCATCTGAAAAACACTCGTTATTCAAGAAATTGACCAAGGGAATCTGCGCATGCTCCGGGGGAAAAAAACGAAGTGAGAAAGACTCCGAACCTTCCTCCCAAAGACCCCCAAAGACGCCCACCGGGAGGCAATGCGCAGGTGCAAAGAGAACATAAACTGGTGACACCAGCCTCTAGAACTAACCCAGCCTTGCTCATGCCTATGTATGTTTGTGTTATGTAATCCAATGAATATGTATATCCTCACTCTATCAGTTTTTGTTAAAATGTGCGGTGGGTGTGCAATGCTTTGTGGAGAAATCCCCTTGCACCCCGGCGCTGGAGTAAACACACCTGCTTTATAATGCTGTTAGAGTTGTAGAGTCTGTTTTCTGCGAATCACAAAAAGAGATGTTGCAGGAACAGGCTCTGAAGACCTATTTTCAAGGCTGTGGGATCACACATGACCTTATGGTTTCTCACACCCAGCCAGTGTTACTGCTACCTGGACTGGGGTGTAAATAGGCTTAAAACTTACTTCAGATTGCAGTGGAAGGAAGGTGTAGTGCTTATATATATAGCTCTCTCTGTGGCAGCACTCTCTTCTCCATCTCTTTGCTACTGGACTGCAGCTGCGGCACACTTACAATCTCCCCCCCCCTCCACCCCTACCTGCATTGTTTTGTTTGAACGTCCCCAGTTTCCTATACTTCCAGTAGCACTCAAACCCAGAATATGATGCCATGCAAAATCCTCAAGGGAAAAAGGGGCCGTTGCACAGTTCAGGTCTGTGCACAGAACCAGGTGATACTCAGCAATTTGAGTATTCATGGCTCAGTTGCCACTAAATGGAGCCTGAAGCCATCCTCTGTATAACTGGAGGTTTCAAGTATATTCCTATTTAACTCCTCTTTTACAACTGAACTGCTTCTCAAGCACTTGCTCTGATAAAGGGAAGAAAGGCTGCACCAACACCTGGGATGGACAACTATAAGAAACAGCAATATCACATGGGATGGATGTTAGTAGTGCAGTATTACAGTGCACTGTGAATGATTAAGGATTTAGGAGGTTTATTCAATCTGTGAATACACACAAAATAGAGTTGCAGGACTTACAAAGAATGCTGCTTCAGAGAAAGTAACAATTGGGTCAGAACCTTCTTCTACTGTCCCACATCTCACATATATATATATCTATATCTATCTATATATATATAGATATATATATAGATATATATAGATATAGATATAGATATTTAGTATTTATACTTCATGCAAAAGTTGTCTCTGCAAATGATGAATAACTCAAGGAATTTAAAATGCTGTCTTCCTTTGGAAACATATGAAAGAATAGCCAAAACATCTAAACCTTTACACTTCAGAAAATTAGTAAATTATACACTGCTAGAAATAAATACAATTAAAAGTACGGTAGAAAAATAATTTATACTTAGAATGGAAAAGTACTTTATGTTCATATAAATAAATGAGATCACCGTTCAAGTAGCTGGATATTTATGTTTATATTCTTTCATTTATGTGGAAATCCATACTGATTTCTATAGAGGTGTCAGTATGTTCTACTTTTTACAAACAAAATACTGGAAAAGGAAAGAAGGGATGCTGAGGTTTGAAAAAGTCCAAACCTAACAGACACTCAACAGGAATAACTAATGCCATTTTTAAGATTTGACAGGGAAAAACCTTGTTTAAAATGTCATCTTTACTAGGAACAGAAAAGCAATTAAAAATCCAGAAATGACTACATATGATAGCATGCATAAAAGGTCTGTTTTGTATTCTGTGTGCATCTTTAAAAATGAATTTGATTTGCTTTTGTAACCAGTTACAGCTACCTTAAACATTATCTCTCTTTACTTTATCCAAAGATAACATTGTACTTTACAAGTTCTGAAAATGTGACATAAAAACAATGTTAAAGCATACTTGGTGGTTATTACTAGCTTTTCCAAACTTTGAAAAATGTTTTTGAACTTCTCTCTTCTACACGTATTATTTAATAGAGTAGATACAGAAAAATACTTTCACATCTTAGAATGATGTGCAACAAGGATACATTTCATATTGTAAATTTTCTGCTGTAGAGATCACATATAAAATAAAATAGTGTTTCTTTTGCTTCATCAATTAGCCCAATATCTTATTTGCCAGACTAACATAACTGATTGCTTATACCATATCACTGTTATTAGCAAAACATCCCTCTTTATTTGAATATGAACGCCTGCAAGATTGTTTAAACATTTAATTATATTAACTGATTATATCCTCAATTTCCCATAAATATTACATCCCCAGAAAGAATTTTTATAGTTGTATCACTGTAGCAAGCAAATGTCGCAATAGTTACATTTCTGGAAACTGAGTCCTGAGAGTTTAATACTGAAAATTAGGTACAAAAGGTAGCCCAGCACTTACCAGTGAAGTATATACACTGCATCATCTGAACATCTAAATTTAATTACAGAAAATCCAAAGGGCTTTCAGGAAGTCCTGCACACAGAATGTCAAGCACGACAGACTGTGGATCATAAACAAATGTGTGGGAATGGCATAACAAGGGAGTATAAAGGGATATTTTGCACTTTGAGAAATAAAATTCTTGTCAGTATCCCTGCTTTTTCTCCCCTCAACCCTCAATACTTATTTCATGGACTGTTTCTCATTTCTGGAATCTCTGTACATCTATTTGTCCATTACAATTAAAAATGCTTAATTATACTGTTTTGTGACTGTCTTATGCAATATATCTTCAGGAAAAATTTAGCTAATTAGGTTATTACTATCATAAACTTTAACAGTAGTTTGGTGAACAACATGGCATGATGCAACTTTAAAAAGTAAAGCATTGTAATAAGCTAAATATATTGTGTATTAGTATATTCCTGATAAACCCCTAATTAATGCAGCTTTTAACATTAAATGTTTTACAGCTTAAAGATTCTTGACAAAATAGCTAACTGTAATGCTCAAGGAAAAGTTGAGAGAGAAGAATGCTTAAACATAGCTTATGTCTTTATTTTTGTTAATGAGCAAGATTCAGTATCAAAACCCTTCTTAAAAATGGGAGTTGCTTCTTTTTCCCCATTTTTTTTTTCTTTTTCCTTTTAAGACAGAAAATCATCAAGCTGGTTGCCACAGGGAAAGAAAGGATGAAGAAATCTGCTTCTGCTGGTACAGATTTTGATTCCGAGTAAATTTGGAGTAATTCAACACACTCAAGTAGAATTATAGCAGTGCAGGAAAAAAAAAAAGGATCTAACTTGCACTGTCTGGGACTTTATGTAACTGCCATCACAGTCAATGGAATAATTTCTGATCCACTTTTCTGGATCACTTTCCTTACAATAACTTCCCCAGTACATTAGGCACAATATAACTCCTGCAAGGCAAAATGACAATAGACATAGGCAGTAACAAACAAGTAATAAAAGTGATTTGTCTGAAATGACTTTAAAATCCTTCTGATGCTGCCTCCTTAGAGCTTTTTGAATTTGTTCATATTTTTGATCCTCACTATGGATTTTCACTTTTGCACATTTTTATTTAAAATCTTTGTCCCATCTTTCAAAAAGCAATCAAATCAGCTGGAGATATTCTTGGATTTGCATCTGTTGCTGTCTGAGAAATGTTATACTTCCCAACTGTCTACTTACCAATTTAATCTGCCATCTTTTAACACAGTAGGAAGAATTAATCTTTAGTAAAACTTGAAAGTGCAGTTGTCTCAAGGATAGATTTGGTACGGCATGATTAATATTTTCTTACTTACTCTTCATGGGAATACCTCATATTGTTAAAGAAGTGAAGAAGAAAAATGTTTCAACTCACCAGTTGCATCAGTTTTTATTCTGGGTTGAATATCACACATTTTGTCGTAAATAAAGAAGACTCCTAGGAGCAGAACAGTATTCTTCCTGCTACCCTACTTATTCACAGTTACACCTGTGCTGTTGCAAAAGTGGAGTCTTAACAGACTGCATTAACAAGATTAAATGGAAGAAGTGCTAAAGGTATAGACTGTTCCATTTCATTAAGGAAGGGAGGAAGACTGCTGGAGGAACTAAGTAACGAAACATCTTATTTTGATGCTATCTTCATGTAGAATGCATTTCTTATTCCAGCCCAATCGTTTAAAAATAACCCTTATTTTCTGGAAATTCTGAAAATAAATCTCAGCTTTCCTTTGCTGTCAATTGTTTTTGTTTCAGACATATATAAGAAATGGAGGATTATAAAGATAGATATAGGATGACAAATTATTACATAAAACCCCCTCCATCTTGTGAAATAACACCTATATCATACCTACCTGCTTCCAGAGCTAGTAAGTTAACGTGCCTACAGAGTTTCTAGACTCCCTGTGACAGACCTGACTGAAATGCCCCTGTTGGACAACCATTACATTAAAGGAACATCAACTGAATCCCAGTCACCCTTTGTATGAGTAGGGGGAATTTAGGGGTAAGCTCTCACTATGAAACTCTAACAGAGTGTGGATCCACAAGCCCCCCCCCGGCTCCCACACTGGCTAGAATTGCATCCTGGTTCAGAGGTTATATACTTGAAAAAGCATGCAGTGGCTGTCATGCACCAAACATGGTATAGACAAACAGAAAGCACTGCAAGCATTACAGAGGCTTTCTGTAAGAAACAAAACAAAGCAAACCAAGACTTAAGAATAGACTACTTTTAGAAGACAGATAATACATTAAATACTAATTCGCTTTTACCTTGGGAGTCCTTGCAGGTTATCTAGGCTTGCAAAGAATTTCCCTCACCTTCCTGTTACACATTCCAAGGCTTTTTTGCTGGAAGAGCTCTGCAAGGTTACTTCATTTCCAAGTAACCTTTCCTTGTTAAACCATTTTCTCATGTCTTAACCTTTTGCATAAAGTATTTTTTTGAGTAAGAAATTACTAAGATTTTAACAGTCCTGTCCTGCTAACTCTGCATATTCATTCCCTTGGAATTTGTGCCAAAGATAAAACACAGAAGACTTCATTTTCAAGATTCAATAAACCTGGTAGATACAAAAGACTGTTAATCCTACATAACATTAAAAAAAGATGTTCAAAATTGCTATTTTTCTTTGAATGCTTGTTCTGGGTAGATACGACTGTTGAGGAATTATCAAAAAAAGAAATCAATGCAAAGGGAAATATTATGGGAGAGTTCCAGAGTTTATGAAAATAAGGAGAATTATTGAAGATTAGGAAAGCAGAAATTTCAGAAATTACAGAGATTACAGAAACAAACAAATACGTGAGCTGGGAAAAGCAGCTTGAAAAAATATTTTTCCAATAATGAGGAAAACATTATTTGAAGGATAATAAGAAACAGGATTAATTTATTGCTTATAATAACTCATTTCAATCTGCATAAACATTACACAGCTATTTTTTCATGACTGTTCTTAGAACCAATCACGCAGGCTACATGTGATTCTGCGGGATTATAATCTTAAATAAGGTCCCAAACTCTTAGCCTGCTGCATTTTAGATTAATAAAAAGTTCCTGTCTTGCTAAAAGAATAGGAATTGCCATCTCTTCTATTATTTCATAAATGAAAGCCTTTGATGTTATGGGGCATACTTTTTCTTGACTGGATAAATAATTGGTGTATAATTTTCCTCCTGTTGCAACAGCATTTCATTCTGCTGAAGCTGTGATTGCCTAACAAGATTTTGAAGTCTCACTGTTTCATAATATATTACAGTTCCCTATTAGACACACCACTTTCCTCTCAGATAAAAAACATGGATCAAAGAAATGGCCAAAAGAAAGGAACACCATTTAAGGGTTCTTTTTCCTTTTCCTCCCTCTCTAATTTGTGTAACTGAAAATTAGTTCTGCATGAGTCAGGAAGAAATCAATAGATTGTTGGCAAATATTACAGACCCTTCAGAAGCAGGAATTAGTATCAAACTGGTACTGAGCAATGATTCCAGACACAGTGGCTTTCAAATTGAGAATTATCATTTGACTAGCATCTTAATAAATCACCCTGTATGTCCTGTTGGGTGTGTTCTGTCTGTGCAGCCATCAGGGCAAGCAGAATTTGGATGCAGAAGTCTTAGGCAATGTTTTCATTTCGTAATGAGAACTTGGTTCCAGAAGAAAATGGTCATATTTAAACTCTTACAAAAACACAATGATACAACATAGTTTTCAATTCTAAGTTTGTATTTCTAGAAATGTTCCTCATAGACTTTCAGCTCAAAAAAAACCCCAAAAACAAAAAAAAAAGATATTGAGGAACAATTACAGAATCTGAACAAATATAAAATGAAAACTCAACTCAACTATAGCACAGAGTAATGTAAACTCTGACTTCCATGTATTGCTAGCTGCTTTTTGACCAGGAAGCTGGTTTATGTGCTGGCTTAATAGCCTGAGCTAAGGGACAGTCTGAATAAAAGGAGTCATCATGCACTTAGCTTTCAACGCAAAGCAATCACAGAATCATAGAATAATTTGGGTTGGAAGGGGCCTTTAAAGGTCATCTAGTCCAACTCCCCTGCAATGAACATAAAATGGTCATATTTGCACATTCCTGAAAAAATGTCACCTGTATTCATTTCTGCCTGATGGTGTTCAACAGAAAAGAGATTTTTTTTAATATGATAAATATTTTTAAGATCAAGAAAGGGAGGAATTTGACAGCTATGAATATTATGGAATATAACCTTATTCCTTAATGTCCTGAAAGTTAATTCTCTCAGCAGTCTAATTTGCTCAGGAGTTTATAATATCTTATAACACACAGTCACAGGATTAACTATGTAAAGGAGGAATGTAAACAACTTATCCCAGTAATTTAGAAAGAAAATAAACTATAAAAGTTGTTGTGCAGAAACTGACTATTGTACTACAGTAAAAAAAAAACCAAACCAAACCAAAACCAAAACCACCCTCCTGAAAGAGAAAGGTATTCAAATTCAAAAGGGTAATTGATTGGATATTACAGGTTTTTGTAGAAACTACAAATACTTGAGGGCATGGTCTGTTGGAGATAACCCATGCACTTTGATAGCTCAGGGCGGCCTTCAGCTGTTGTATGTGAAATCTGTTCTAGGTGATAGCTCTGGTAAAAAATGATTTGGTTAAGTGAAGGACACTCTAGTCATCACTTTAGAGACCAAGAAATGTGGAGATTACAAGGGAGGCACTGTGGCATTCACTTCCATCCAGACACCTTGCTCTTGTTAAGAGCAGGCACCAGATACATCCACAGACGGAAACTTTTTTTCTCTTGCTCTTCTTGCTGTTTTTATCAAAAAGCATCCAGCTGTCTGAGGAGTAAGGGTAAGGAAAAAATGTGTGTGTGTGCATGTGCAGGTGAGACTCTACTGGTTTAGGACCTCATTTGGTGTGGACAGGTGCAGGGCTGCTGAAGTCAGTGAGGATGTGACAAATTACATTAACTGAGGGTCAGGGGCTCTTCTCATTTATTCCTACATTACATGACAGTTGAAAAACAAAGGAAAAGAGTGTTACTAAAGAGGCTATAGGTAACTGTATCTCTCCTCCTGAAGGCTGCATACGGTACATCCCCCTGGTCTTAATGCCAGAACTATAGGAAATTGAGCAGCAGCTTCTAGGTTGCGGCCCTGCACACTTTCAAAGAAGGTGCTTCTGTTCTTTCATTTTAGGAAGTAAGTATTGTCCTCGGGGAACGTGATGAGAGGAACCTTGCTCTCTTTCGCTTTGTATATTCTTCAGCCATGCAAGCTCTGATCCACCTTGAAAATGTCCTTTCCGATGCTGGCCTTCCTCCCTTGTGGATACAGAACAGAAAGAAAAGTCTTGCTGCATCCTGAAATCTTGTGATCTGTAAACCTAAGTCTCTGCAGCCCTGGGGACATTTCAACAAAGTGAATCAAGTTTCCACTTGCAAGCTAAAGATACAGAAATGGTGATTCTACCTCCTGGTTTAAAGAAAAATCAATACAAATGAATCCAGATGTTTTAATCAGGGCTACTGTATCTGGGGGAATCACAGCAAAAGGATTAGCACAAGAAACTGGTTGGTGTGGTGTTTTTTTTTTTTTTTTTTTTTGTGAAAAGTAACCCCATGAGACTGGGTGAAGAGGAGCCATGAATGAGAGAGAACACGCTCTAAAGGTCTATCAGTCCACTGTTCAGTGCATTTTAAGTTCAAAGACTTCAGAAATTATAAGAGAGGCTCTATCTCTATGTGCAGAAAAGAAAGATACTTGGAGAACTTTGTAACATTGAGGTGGCAGACTTCCTCTGTTGGCATGACCTCTAATGGTTTTGAAAAACACTGAATGAGTTTTAAGAACTAAGGACTAGATGGTTATCAATAGAAAATTTGAAGAAAATCATGGACATATAGGAAATAGCATCTTTGAACCAAACTGAAAGTGCTGACCTCAGATTTTTAGATGGTCTGTCATTATACTTTCCTGTGGAAAATTGCAGCATCCGAGTGACTTCTGCTGAGTGACTTTTCTGTCTCACCACTTCTTGTTTCACGTTCCAAGGAGTGACTGACCCCTTTCGATAAAAAAGTCTCTTTCCTAAAATGTATGCTGCATCTCCTCAGCCCATTTAAAGAACAATTTATGGCTAAATCCATTCAGAAGCAAGATCAGGTATTTCAGATTTTTTACAGTCCAGGTGTTCACACACTATTTAATCAGACTACCAAACTTTCACTGTAGGAAACCACTGATTTTCCAGAACAATTATCACTGTTTTGATGATTTCAAACCCCATGTGTCAATCTCTGGCTATTGGATTTTAACACTGGAGCAAACTGTTTGTCATTGGCTACTGCCTGTGGAACTACTGATTATTTCTGTAGGTCCATATACTTTCTCTAGTGTGACTGCATCTATCAGTACCATGAAGATGTACCTAACAGGACTCTTTTGGAAGAAGAGTGGCCACCTGTAACAGTAAAGCAATTAGGCATATTTTAGTTATGTCTGGAGATCAT